GTTAGAAATGCAAAAAGACCTACTAATGAGAAACTCAGGAATGCAGCCCAGAAATCTGTGTTTTAAAAAGCCCTCCATGCAATTCTGATACTCTGTAAAGTTTAAAACTATGGAACTAATTCAAATTAGAAGACAAGTGCCTGACTTCGTAAAGAATGGTTATCTTAAGCTGATCACTTGGACTTTGCCTGGACAATAGAATTAGCTGTGTTGCAAAGTACCTTTGCTGCAAGAGAATCATACATTTGGTGTGGAGGAGCTTAAGGAGATGCCCCTTCCCCAGCTCAGGCAAAAATGGCACAGACACTGAATACAACTTAAGAAGAAAGAGCCCCCAAAAGAAGTCCTCTGTTTTATTCCACTTCTCATGCCATAAGATGAGCATCTGTCCAAAATGAGCTCCTTCTTACAGCTTAGCCTACATTCGACAGCTGCCACAGAGTGAAGAGATGGGAAAGATAAGAGGAGAAATGTGAAGTTGTGATGATGGAGACAGAGCAGGGAAAATAGCCAGGCCTGGTGTCTGCCAGTCCCTCATGCAGCAGGTTACCATGACTCAGACTGTAAACCGAACGTCTAGTGAGCCAGTGTGGCTACACCTGAGAGGAGGGAAAGGGGCCCGAGCTACAAACTGGGGAGACTGCACTCTGCATCCCACTGCACTGGACCATAGCAGCAGAGTCAGCAAGAACAAACCAAGTGACAAGGACCAAAACACACAAACCAGGAGCTGAACTGGGATACTACCAGAGATACAGAAACAAGAGAAATAAACTCACCAGGTGCTTTATTTCACCTCAACATTTTGTAAAAATAAATTTTAAGAAAGAGCTTTATGGATACCCAAATAGTTGAACTTGATTGGTAAAACCAGAGTAAAGTCCCCAGGTATCAAACAGGACCTGGGCACGTGTAATCTTTCTCCTGCATTCATGCCATGCTAACTATATCTGCACATCCTCCACCATGACCATTTCCAACAACCAAACTAAGAGGTGTACCTAAAAAGTTGGTTTTGTTTTGACTTACAGTTGCCAGTAAGATTTCAATTTAATAAGATTCTACCTGATTTTTTCTGGCTTTCTTTCCTTGGCCCATATAATAGTCTGTCCAATCTGGCCCTATCTCATGTCTCCTTAAAGAAAAAATGGATAAAATCAGAGCAAAAATCACTGATTTTAGCTCTGGGGAGAGGAGACAGATATCCCAATCCATAGCATAGACAGTTTCAAGAAATTCTCAGGTAGCAATGAGACACTAAGAAAAGTTCCATATTCCACCTCATTTATCTTACCCACTTTTTCCTCGCCAGTCCAAACTTCAATGCCAAAGGGACTCCAGGGCAGCTACTCCAAGGAAGCAAAAGGTCACTTTCTGCCCATCCAAAATATATAATCTAAAAATGACACTAAGGGGAGAAGCAATGCTGGCCTCAAAAAGAGAAATATGAAAACTGTCGCCAGATTTATCACCAGAACTGCCATGTGGTTCTACCATGTTGTGCTTATAAATATGTTTGGTGAGGAATTTTCCTTTTAAATATTTTATTAAAGATCTCTTCAAGCTTACCCATCTTTTATTTGTTCCTTCTAATGAGGAAGGAGCTGACAAACCCATCCACAACCAGGAGGAAGCTCCAGGAACCTTCTAAGAAGGGAACAGGCCAGACCAGGCCAGGCCTAAGCTTGGTAGTGGTCAGTGATTCTAGTTTGTGTTCTTGTTGGAAATACTTTCTAGTCATAGTAGCTGGAAGCAAAGAATTATGCAATTACTCTTTTAATTACAATTAAAAGTGCTGTAAAAATCACTGGGTTACCTGAGACCCAGTAAATGGGACCTTGCCTGTTTTGTGAGGTCTCAGGAGACTTCCCAGGGGAGGTGTATTTACTGGTGATCTACCAAATGAATAGGTGTTAATGAGGTGTGTACAAATGTGCAGATAAAGCAGGAAGAGATAGCAAGCATTTAGTCAGAAAACACAAGTGAGAAACAGCAGGGCACATGGAAGGAACAAGAAGGTGACCCAGAGGCTGAAGTGCAGAAGTGAAGGGGAGAGTGGAGAGAAGTGAGATGGATAGGTGGTGGGGCCACATCATGCAGGCCTGTGAGGGTGGGGGCAGTTGGCATTAGAATAGCCATGGGCCGCTCTGCACCCAGCAAAGCTGCGGTTGTGCTGTGGGTTCAAAAGTAATGCAGGCTGCTGCCCACCTGCTCTTCCAGGGAATGTGGGCTCTGGTCTCCCGGGGTTGGGGAGGGAAGGTGGACGCTTAAGTGGAGAGGGCTGACACATCCCTGTGCCTAGGTCATTTCTTTGGGTGGTCTGTGTGCGGGTCTTGACAGGAGGATTTGGCTCACTTGCAGACAGCCCATCCAGCTTCAGGGCTTGGAATAATCATCTCATGACTTCAACTTAGCCTGTCCAGATCACACTTTGAAACACTCTCCTGCTATCCAGTTGCTCTTTGCTCCCAATGGAAGACTGGTGATGGGAGAGGGAGGGCTTGAAGCATTAGGGAGATTTCTTTCTCATTCCTGCTGAATGTAGCCAGGCAGCCACCAATGAGACCAGATTGGGAGTGCCTAAATTTTATATACCTGAACATGGTGGCATTTTCCCAGAAGTTAAGGTGCCCACTTTACAAAGTGTCATCGTGAAGTCTGGATTATAAATTAGTCCACCTATAATTAACACTAAGTTGTGTATTTTGGCATTGTCTTTTGGTTTCCCCTTGGGACATTGCTGGCTGTAGAATTCAATAAATACCCAGTAAGGTACTTTGAATGGCAACCCACAGATGGGTTGATGGGGCACTTGGTGCTGCCCTTCCTTGCTGATGTCATGTGCCTACACATGTGTGCTGGAACATACTGCTGCTGACCCCCTGTACCCCCTGGCCACTGTCTGAACACCAGCCTCCTGTCTCATTCATTTATGAAGCTCTGGCCTCTAGGCTGCTCCATCTGGAAATGACTGTACATAGTTATTTAGTATATACAGGGGTTTAATTGAAACTTTTGTTAAAGATGTAATAAAGACAAGGCACAGAGACTGCAAGAAAGGGAAAGGAGAATAAATAGTAATTGTATGCACCATCAATTGAACACCCACTGTATACCAGATGTTTTCCAAACACTATTGCTTATCGTGACTCAATTCTGCAAGGTTAGTGTTATTGTTCCCATTTAACAGATGAGGACAGTGGGACTCAAGGAGGTTCGAGGACTTGTCAAATACTCACAGTAAGAAGAAGGCAAATCTGGGATTCCTTTGGCAACTCTGCTGTGCTGCCGCCATGCAGTGAGGGAGGAAGCTGGTAGCCCCGTGAAGACAAAAGCTCAGCTGCTCTGTACTGAACCTCCACATACCCGGGGTCCTTACACTGCACACTGCCCACAGCACCCTTGTCATCATCCATCTGTTCCCAAATATCCTGCTCCCTCACCCGCCTTCCTAACCACGCCCAAAGAGAAGAGACACATTCTAGATCATTGTTCCCAGTCCCTCACCTCTTCCTCCCTTTCCCAAGCATTTCCTGTTTTTAAATCATCACTGCCTCTGGGATGATGGGAAATCAGCATTGGGCAGTAATGGCCCTCCCCAGAGATTGCTGTGAAGAATTCATAGCCAGTGATGAGTGGGTGAGCAAAATCAAGCTTTCAAGCTTTCAAGCTTTCCAAAGACCTTCAGCCAGTTTCCTGGAATGGCCAGGAAGTGAGGCAGATGAAATGATAGTTTAAAATCCTTGAAGGTCTTAGCCTCTGCCTCTTAATTAAATGAATACTGTCCTTTTAGATGGCTGGAGTGTCAATCCTCTGGTTGGTGTTCATAGAGCCTCAAGTCAGTAGCCTGTCTCTACATACAGAGATGACATTACAGATCATGGAAACATGGATGATAAGAGTTGGGAATCAGAGCCCAGTGAGATCCCAGAATAACCATGAAGTCAAAGGAGATATGTGCCTAGTAGGGAAGAGCTTGATGCCAAATATGCAGTCTGCCCTGCAGCCAGGAGAGCTCTCCAGCTAGAAGATTAAAAAGCTGGTCCTGTGGGCAATGCCTGAGCACCCGTCCACAAGTGGTCCGCACCAGCCCCGACGCTAAGACATGAAAAGATACTGAATGAACTTTGTATTTACCAGAATCCCCCTAAGGAAAAGGACTGTACGTAGGTGATCCAAAATTCCAATAATAAGCTTGGGATGAGAGGAGGGAGCCAGCAAAGGACACAGTAGAGTCACAGTCGATAATGGCCAAACTGCCTTATAAACAACTAAATCTAATTAACTACAAGGGCTTTTCCTTTATGAATGTGGTGTGCAAGGTAAGGAGAGGCTGCTCACTGCCACCCAGCTGTCCTTCCTCCCTGCCCTTCTCCCATGTGTCACTCATCCTCTTATTATCTGGAAGGGGCTGGCTCCCAAATGTTGCCTGTCCAGAGGGTCCATGATTGTGGAATACAGTCCTCTAATGTTGTTATGTAAATCTTTGACCCCTTAAAGTTCAGGGCCCTGAAAAAATCCCTGGCTACCCCTTCTTTGCTGCCCAATGTTGGAAATCAGTCTGCCTGACCATCACACCCTTACACCCTCTGTTGATGGTGTACACTTGGACCCAGTGACAGTTAACAGAACTACCAACAGCTTGAGTGTGGTCCATACCTGACTCATCTTTGCTGTACCATCTTAACCTCTGTCGTGTGCAATTGTTTGTTAAACATGTAGCTGTTCGGATGGATGGATGAGTGATTTCATGCCTGAGTGACTGGATGAATAAATGAGTGACTAAATTTGCAAGATAGCTACCAGTGGTAAGAGATGAAACTGTTACCTGTGAAATGTTTTTTTTTCTTTACACAAAACTACCACAGACACAGAATGGGACCCTCTGCTTGGACCCTATAGTATTTATGGCCACACTACCAGGGCACCTGTTGAGAGCAGGCCTCTTGGAACACAGATGGCTGGAGATTTCCACTGACCTGTTCTTTTTTTCTTTTCAGATTATCAAAGAGATTCCTCCACCCCCTGCTGAGGAAAGTGAGGTGAGTGACCAAAGCAGGGTACAGCCACATGGACAGGGTGGTGGAGTGGGGCGGAGAGCTGCACGGGCTGGCCTGAAACCCAGGCCCCTGCAAAGCAGAACTAAGTCAGGCCCAGGCTCCCAATGCATATGAAGCAGCAAGGAGGGTGGTCTTTGGCTCTTTCCTAACCAAAGATGAACGGGAACTAAAATACATTGGCAGTCACAGACAGATGGATTTGGAAGGTTTTCTCTTTGCAAAGATAAAATTTGAGATGCAAACATAAACTTTTTTACCAATACAATTATTTGGAGCACAGTACTGATTTTTCCTCTAAAAGAGACACTTTGGGGATCCCTTCTCCCTGCAGAGGCTTTTGCATTATGTGTGTAAATCAGGGGAAATCAGTGATTCTGGGAACAGCCTGCTGAAGTATGCCATTGATCTTTAATTTAAAACAATGTTACCTAAAAATTTGCCAGGCAGTAATGAAAATATATTGGAAGGGGATATGCTAATATCCTGTCCTTGCTCTCAAATCCTCATCATTTAAAGGAAGAAAAATATCCTAGACTCCACCATAAATTGGCCAGTAAGCAGTTTGCCTGCAGTAGAATAGAGGCATTAAAGGCTGATGGTGGGAAGGAGCACCAGGGGGCAGGAGTGCCTGACCAGTGGCTTTCCTGGTCCTCTGATTGCTCCTTGGGAAGCTGGCCTTCCTGGATGCAACACTCGCCAATTTAGAGCCAGGGTACAGGTCTGAAAACCGACTGGGACCAAAAGCTGTAGTGATGAGATTTCTAGTTCATTGTTCTCAATCCCTAAAGTCTGTTGTGTGCAAACCAAGTACCACCCCCTCGCCATTCTTCTTCCCAATGCCATTGTTAAGTTCCCTACATACAAAACGAATAATGATTAAATTTTAAATTCCATGTGGCTCTTATACCCTCAACCATATGCATGGAAGCCAAGGGATTTAATAGCTGCCATCAATTAAAGTACATCTTGTTGGAATGCTAACTTTCTGCCCAGAAATCGGGAAGGAAATTTCATTCTGTGCAGAGGGGAGGGAGGGAAAAAAACCCTCTTTACATCGATGAAAGCCTTTTCCTAGTCCTTCAAAGGAAAGAACCATGGGCAGTTCCACAGGTTCCATTTTGGCTGTGTTCCTGTCCTGTGCAGCTGTCTGTTATACTTCCAAAAGAAAAATAGGTCAAGAAACTCTCTTGATGAAGTTGGTCTGTTTGCCCTAAAGGGAGAGTTCTCTTCCCTCATTATGTTCAATTAGAGGAGTCGTTGCCCTTTCTTCTGGTGCTGGCTCTGCATTTGCCTTTGGAAGGTGATGTGGCAGCTTCTGTGGACAAAATGTGCCAGGGGACTTAGGTACAAGATGATGGGGTATGGTTTAGCCCAGACCCCAGCATCTAGAATAGGGCTCCACACACACACATAAGCATGTGTGGAATGAACTCTTATACTTAACAACGCAATGTTGGAGAGGAGGGAAAAAAGCTCAAACCAAAAAAATAGCAAGAAAGAATAGCTAAAAGCAAGAAGTAGTTGAATTTTTCCAGTTTCATCTAATATTCTTAGAAAAGTTTCACCTGAAGAAGGCAGACCTGGTTTCTGAGTTACAGCCTCAGGATACTTGAGGTTTGAAGGGTTGCGTTAGACCTAAACCAGCTCCCGAGCTGGCTGGGCAGGCTGCAGGCAGTGCTGACTGCTTTAGCATGTGCCTTGGCCCTGGGAGTCCCTTGGCCCTGGAAGTTAAGCAGCCCTAATCTGCTTCCTAATATGATTTGGCATAAAAAAATTAAGAAATCCCACAGAAACAGATAATATAACTTAGCCCATACAGAGTATTTTATAGTATAAAGTTATATTGTATGAATTATACAATGCCCTGAAAATCAGTCTGAATCCAGACAACCTTCTTCACTCCAGCTCTCTGTGTTCAGATCCCACCAGTTTTTCAAGCACAGCTCATGCACTACAAGCCACACTATAATTCCTTGCATCAGAACTATTTCCTCATTTTTCTCTTCTCTGCACTCCCAGGGTGTTTTTTTAATTGACTCTTCCTTATGCATCAAAGTTTAAGACCGTTAGCTACTTAAAGATAAAAACCTATATCAATTAATCTTCAGTATGTCCCCCAAAGAGCTTAACATGTTGTCTGACACTCAATTAATATCCGAAGTCAAACATTCTCCATCATCCATATATGTGAACAACTTAAATATCAGTTATCCCAACTTTCATCAGATCTATTAGCATTTTATCCTGAGGGGAGAATATCTATTGTTGAAATAACTGAACTTCAAGAATGAACACAACTTTATAATGTGTTCACAGTGATCTTCTTTAACAGAAATATCAACATGAAAAATATAAAAAGTCAAGATTTTTTGAGATTCCATGCAACCCACAGTGATACTTTTATATAAATGGAAGACAAAGAAAAATTACTTGAAATTTCAGATCTCAACAAAAGCAATGATGCTTAATTTTGGCATCTCAGAGGGGCATTTCTTGTCTGATTGGCAGCAGAATGAAAATTCCCCACTAAGTCTCTAGTTATTCCAAATAATTGTCAGTTTATGGGAGAATCTAACAATGGAGTACTCCAGCTGATGGTATAGTTCTAAGTAGAATCACCTTCCATGGATTTTCTGACTGTTTGGGAGGGAGAGGGGTGTGTACTGAAGGCACTGACACTGGATGGGTACCTGGTTAACTATAAGCATCTGCCTTTGAATGATTAACTTATTTCCAGGTTTATTATCATGCTCATTGATCATAACAATTTCTTTGAGGGAGGAATTTTTAGATGGAAATTACTGAATGATGGAAAAATTTTTCAACAAGGACCAAGCAGCAGCCCTGGTAACCCTTACAGCTATGCCTACACAGACAGGCAGAGTAGCCTCCCACTCTGAAGGGAAGAATGGCCAAGCCATCACCAATGGACATCAACCCACACACCAGTGCACACCAACGCACACCAACACACACATGTACACCCCAAACAGGAGTCTAGAACAGGTCCAGAATTCAGCATTCAATATTTTTATAGTTAAAAAAAGAAGCACTGCTTCTTTAAAAGGATGTACACTATCCTTTATGAAAAAATGCCACAAAATTCTTGTGCATCCTTAATCATTGTGGGCATGTGAACAGTTATGATGGTTCCATGGCATGTTATGCAGCTCAGAACAGGGAAATCTTGGGTCATTTGAAATTTTTGTATTTATAAACAGAAGTATTGCTGTATCTTTCAGTTCACTCCTAGGAATTAATCTCCAAAACACTCTGTGGGTGATTTCCCTGGCTCATCCTCAGAGACTTCAGATCAGATGGACAGCCAGTTCTACTTTAGGTTCAGCCCTTCAGAATCTCCTGAGCCTGGGATTTCTGTGGCCTTTGTCCTTTACTTGTTTCATGACATCACCCTCCCAAGACTTACTTCTCCATAAGTGTAAATGATCTTGTTAACAGCTGCATCCCCTTTATTTTTCTCAAAATATAGCACTATGCTGGCAAGCAGGGGGCTCAGACTGTTTCCTGTGTAAGTGACTGAAGGATGGGCTATCAGGCCTTATCATAAGGATTTAAGATGAATTCCAGTTCAATGGAATTTTAAATGAATTCAAAGGCTGATTTAAAACTATTTCCTTAGACTTGATTCTGTTTCAGTTACATTCTCCTCTCCATAGATAGTCCCTCTGACACCTGCAGTGGATGGGGGGTGAGAGTCTGTTTGGGTCAAGCCGGCCACCTGGATATCAGAGAAGCAGGAATGTTAAAGAACTTACAGACTGAGTCTAAGAGGGACACTGAATGCACAGCTCCAGGGGGAGTTGTTCACATCAAGTCTGTGGTGTTGTCCAGGGCACAGTCTCTATGGAGGAGTAAAGCAGCCCTGGGGTCAGAGATCTCACCCTTCTACTCACTGTTTTGCTTAATCACTACCTAAACATTAAATATATGTTAAGTGCAGGAAGATCACTACCAGGAGCTGTGAGGAACACAAGAAGGGAGCATTGAATTCTCTGGGGAATCAGGGAGATCTTCACAGAACAGGTTACATTTGAGCCACATCTTAAAAGATGGGTAGAAGAAGTGGAGGACCGGTGTTACAAGCATACAGAGCTGTGAATGTTAATATAGGGAGCTGTTCAAAAACCTGACATGAGTGGAAAGATGGAAAAGTTCAGCGTCTGAGTGAGGGCAGCACAGGGCTAACCCAGTCTGGGGCTAACCGGACATGTGCATCAGACTTCCTGGTCCACAGCTATTTCTTTCTAGAGCAGGACTGTGACTGAGGACAAGCAGGTCAGAATGGGCCTCTACCATCTGAGTAATGTGCTGCCACTTGTGTGACCTGAACATCAACCAACTGGACGTCTGGGGCTACCACATCCTCTGAGATGTAAACATTAACTTCTCCTGCTGGGAAACCAGCACCGCTCCCTAATCTCTGTGGTTTCTCCAGGCACCACTAATTCCTCCTCCTTGCCTCTCCTCTGATACCTCCTCTTCTTCATTTGCTAGATACCACCTAACAAACCCAATTGCTACGCTCCACCAAAGGCACCACTGGCACAAGGCCATTCACATAGGGACTTTTACAGAGGGTTTAAAAGTACATGGTTACAACACAGTGCCGCCGATGAATAGCTTCTGACAGAATATTAATCAGCCTCTTCTTTAGCATCCCGCCATCCCCACTTCTAGGACATTCTGACAGCCATCCCCTCAAGTGGGCCTGGGCAGTTTCCTGGTAGCTCACTTCCACTGTTTTTTGCTGGTCTTCTGCCAACTGCTCACAAACCTTTGATTCCTGTACTTTGCTCACACAAATCAAGTCAGCTTACCCAGTCTATCCTCCAATAACCATAGAGGATTTCTATATTGGTGGTTTCCCCCTCCCTGCTACATCCTTGAAGGGCAGTGTGAGGGGAACTTGCCAAAAGCCCTTGAACTTAATTAGATGTAGACATTCACTTTGGGTGCTGCTGATTTTCCTAGTGGAATTGCTGGGGGCTGTGATTTTACTCCATCGATTTTTGGCCAAAGACACATCAAAGATTCCCTTCTCTCTTGTCCGAAGGTTGCAAAACCCTCGTGTCCCTAGAATGTGTAAACAGAGCCATGGTAACTGCAGGGAAATTCTGACTCTCTCGTTGGTCAAAACTGGGTCTTCGTGTTGACTTTTGCTGCTGTTATTTGAGTTTGGCAGGCAAGCTCGGGTCAGGGGATTAAACGTCAGGCTTGGTGGATCAGGCGCATGTGGAGCTGATTTAAGTTTTGGAATTTCCTGTAGTGGGAACACGGGCCCCTGCGCTTGCGCAGGAGGCTGACCCCGCCTCCTTACTTGGGCACTGCCCCAAAGTAGAGATAGCATTGAGTCCTGCCTGGGCAAGAAGAGAAAAGATGAGAGGAAGGGGAGCTGGGCGTGCAGGTGTGGGGAAGATCCTGGGACAAGGCATCAGGAGACCAGAACTTTAACTCCATTGGTCTCTTCATTTCTCTGAATCTGACTGTCCTCTTCTGGGCTGTGGAAAGGCTCAATTAGATGGTCTCTAATGTTTGCCGTTATGTCATTTAAAAAATTAGGAGACTTATCAAACCAGTTCATTTCCCTGTTGAAAAGCAGCTTTATTCTTGGAGTCTCAAACGTTCTTGGTGCTGCTATATTCAGTTTTGGATGATATAATTTTAGTTATCTCCTTTGGAAAATGGCACTAGGCCAGGCTTTTTGAAGCCACATTTCATAAATGACACACAGACAACCACATCCGCCTCCAGTGGTAAAGTTTAACCACAATGTAAGATACCTAAGTTTCCTGGTTTGACATCACAAGCCTTCTGAAAACCATAAGGCAAAATACTGTGAACTACTTTATTATTTGGGGTTTTTGTTTTTATTTTATCATTTTGTAGTGTTTTATAGTCACAAATCTTTTAAAATTAGCAAGTACAAGGAGTGAGAAGTAGAGAACTAGCATTCATTTGACACCATCAAATAACTGGAAAAGCAAAATGCAAAGGGACAAAACCCAGAACTGCCAACTCTGAGAAACAACTGAATGAGATAAGCTTTGACAGGTTCAGTGACTTACCCAAGGCCCGAGTAAGCAGTAGCCCTGGGATTTCACCTGGGCAGTCTACTATTGTCCATGTTGCCATCATGGTCACATACATACAGCAATGGCACTTTGCTTCCTTCATGTCCACAATCTCTCTACAGGAGGAAGATGATGACGGTCTGCCTAAGAAAAAGTGGCCTACAGTAGATGCCTCTTATTATGGTGGGCGAGGTGTTGGAGGCATCAAAAGGATGGAGGTAAGAGAACATCTTAATTACAGTAGTCCCCTTATCTGTGGTTTCGTTTTCCACAGTTTCAGTTACCTGTGGTCAACAGTGCTCCAAAAATATTAAATGGAAAATTCCAGAAATAAACAATACATAAGTTTTAAGCTGCACATCATTCTGAGTAGCATGATGAAATCTCGACCTGTACCTCCATCCCATCCTCCTGGGATGTGAATCACCCTTTTATTCAGCATATCCACACTCTGTACGCTCCATGCCGGTTAGTCGCTTAGTAGCCATCCTGGTTATCAGAACATCTGGCAAGGCATTGCAGTGCTGGTGTTCAAGTAACCTATTCTACCATGATATGCCAAAGAGAAGCCATAAAATGTTTCCTTTTAGTGAAAAGGTGAAAATTCCCTACCTACTAAGCCAAGGGGAAAAAATCATATGCTGAGTTTGCTAAGATCTATCATGAGAATGAATCTCCTAGCTGTGAAATGGTGAACAAGGAAAAAGAAATTCATGCTAGTTTGCTGAGAAAGAGAAAGAGAGACCACAGTCACATAACTTTTATAATAGTTTATTGCTATAATTGTATTTTAGTATTAATTATCATTGTTAATCTCACTGTACCTAATTTATAAATTAAACTATCACAGGTATGTGTATAATGGGAAAAAAATAGTATATACAGGGTTTGGTACTATTCATAGTTTCAGGCATCCACAGGGGGTCTTGGAACATAACCCTATGGATAAGGAAGGACTCTTGTACTCACAGATATCTATGTGCTGCCTACTCAGTGATGGAAAACCCAAGCAAATGGATGAAAGCTCATACTTGAGATCTAATGGGGATGTGAATGGTGAGGCATCAGATGGAGAAATGGCAGATAAAGCCTTTTCACTGTGCACCCCATATCTTGCCCATCATGAATAAAAGCAGTTTACTCAAAACTCCCCAGTGGTTTCTTCTCTCAACCAGAGTAAAATCCAAGGGTCTCACCTGGGCCTGCAAAACGTTTGCACCTGCTCTCCTCACTGCCTAAACAACTCCACCCAAAAATATCCATCCACGTGGTTTGTTCTCTCTGCTCCTTCAGCCCTCCCCTTTCCTTTTTTGCACACCTCCCTCTTCCCTGACCCTCAGAGCCCAAAGGATGAGGACTGGGGAGCTCCTGCATTGCATATCACACATGTATTTGTGACCCCCATTCTCTGGGGGCATCATATTTTATTTTGTCATTTTGGTTTTCTGTATATTGCTTAATTTAGGTTCGTTGGGGAGAAAAGGGCTCCACAGAAGAAGGTGCTAAGTTGGAAAAGGCAAAGAATGCAAGAGTCAAGATGCCAGAGCAAGAGTACGAGTTCCCTGAGCCTCGAAACCTCAACAACAACATGCGTCGGCCCTCGTCCCCCCGGAAGTGGTACTCTCCGATCAAGGTGTGTCTCTTTCTATTCAAAAATCCATCCTCACTCCTGATAAAACACTTACATAGTAAGAATCAGACTCCTTGACATGATGAAATAACAAACCAAATTCCAGATTATGGCAGAAGAACAAATTTCTTAAATCATGGACTTAAAAGCATAGGTACTTAACTTTTTCTCAATTTTTGCATTCTTAAGGTTGAAAACTAGGCTTTTTAGAGTCATCATGACAAAGCAGTGGAATGAGAGTGGACTTGGGTAGTGACCCCAGAGAATAAATTTCTACAACATTTCATTGGTAGTTAATTCCATTAATTAACAATGGAGTCTCCTTAACACCTAATCTCTAGTCCTCTTGCCTTAACAAAAGCCCATTCCCTTCCAACCAGTGCATCAGAACACAGTGGTGGATTGTGTTGGTGTGGATCTAGGACTCACTCTCTCTCACTGTGAGCCAAAGCCATTTTTTCTTCACCTCTCTCTTCCCCTGCCACAGCTCTAGACCTTAAAATCTCTTCAGCTTATTGGAAAGTTTAAACCATAAGAGGCAGTTCATGCTTCCTGAAGGCCTCTTTTCTCTTGCTCTGGGGTACAAATGCCTTTGAATATATGTGATTCATTCAATACCTTTGCTCTTCAGATTTGCCCGTTAGCATATGTACTATGCCAGTTGTCAAAGAGCATGAGAAAATCATAGCTTAGAAGATTCTGAGAGAATCTGTCTCCACTCCCTCATTTCATGTAGGAGAAAACTGAAATAAGCAGTTCTTGTCCTTGCGAGGTCCAGAGTCCAAGACCCCAACTCAGGTCTACAGCCTCTAGTTCTGTGCTCTGAACAGAACTGCACCAACTCCAAGGCCTCCAGTAAAATACTTAATATATGAGCCAGCTGTCATCACAAACACACACACACAACCCTTTGCATGCTCGTGAACATATAACCTACTCCTCTTCCAATGACAGCAAAAATAATATTCATTATTCTCTGAGTTATTTGTTCATTTTAGAACAGCCTTTCTCCTATGAAATCAAAAGAAATAACCTTCTTAAACAGTAGAGTGAAACTTTATTGGCAGTTGTCCCTTCCCTGCCAAGCCAGTTCATGCCTGCACTAATTGCAATATATTTTCATTTTGGTTTGCCATGTTTAAAACAGTGAAATTCTTTTTTAAGATAAAAGCCCTGAGGCAATGGGTTGAACTCTGGAGAGATGTGGGCAAAATGTGGTGTGCTTGACTAACAGCTGTTTGCTTGCGATTATTTTCTAATGCGGAGCATGCAGTGGCGTGCATGCGTGCACAGACAGGAAGGAGCCAAAGAGAATCTCAGAGATGAAGAAGAAAGGGATTTTTCCATGATGTCGTTTACAGCCATCTGTACATTGTGACTAACACAACATATCTGGTTATAGCCAGATTTTCATTTCTGTAATCTTGGACGTTGAGAGAACATGAATTCTGTTTGAAGAATCTAATCTGTGCTTGAAAGCATGTTATTCCTCTATTAACTGGTTATTTAGAACTGAGTTTTATGAAATAAGTAGGGATATGGAGAACTGTGTTTAGAAAACTAAAATTGTTCCCAGCACCCACTTGGATCAGTACCAATTTACAAATTGGTACTAATTTACTGTTTGTTGGGAACCTGAGTATGCAGAGGTCGCAAAGCTAGGTGAGTATCAGAAGCACCTGGGAGAGCTTTAAAACTACAGATTCCCAGGCCTAATGTCTCAAACCTAATGACTTAGAGTCCCCTGAAAAGCTTTCACAGGTACACCGCCCATCACAACTTGCTCACTTATTTTCATTAAGTGAAACTCCTTTTCCCTCCCCTATGCCTCCTTTTAAAATGTCCCATCTAAACTCCCCAAGCAATGCCCTTCTGTTGCCCCATTTGCCACTCCCTCCTTAGCCCCTGCTCTTGAGCCTCCTTCATTGTCATTGTGTTAAATCACTGGTTCTCACTGGCCCCTGGACCAGCAGCATCAGCATCCCTCCTGGAAGTGTTAAAAATGCACAGTCTCAGGTCCCAACCCAGATCTACTGAATCAACAACATTGGGGATGGATCCCAGTAATCTGGGTTTTAACAAACTCAGTTAAGAAATTGTCACAGAAGGTCCCAGCCAGCCTTCCACTGGAGGTTTCTTGAGAGCAGGAAATATGGTATCTGGCAAACAGTGCACAATCAAACCTCGTTCATTTGTCAGAAGTCTCAGCAAGGAGACCCACATTAGATTTCACAGTCCATTTTCCACAAAGACAACTGTGGAATTAATGCCAAGTGGCTGAGAATCTCAGTCTCAAGGAATCACCCAAACAGCCAGGTAGGAAAGTCCTGTGATGTCGGTGGACTCACTAAGCACCTCAGCAGGACTCCCTTGTTAGGAGTTAGGACATGAGAAATGCCCCTCCTGCTGGTGGAGCAGCTCATGCCAATGCTTGCTCAGCTCACACTGCTAAGTAGGAAATGTACAATTGCCCATGTTTGTGAATCTTCTTTCCATCATATTTGACCCCCTGGAAGGCACCAATTATGCTTAACTCCTCTCTGAACTGCTAATAAACAGCACTGTACCTGGCACAGAGTAGAGACTCTACCATCTATTGTTAAAGAGCTAAAGCATAGGATGTAATTATGAAACCGTTCCCTGAGCATCACACTGATTAGACTGTCTCCCATGACCCACACATGTCGCTTTGGTACCCCCAGTCCAAGGATAGTAACATTCTTCTTGCCACCCCTACAAGTAAAGCAGAAAAAGAGAGGTCATCTTATGTGTATCTGGGCCAAGTGGGGTAAGGGGAGGGCCGGAACCAGAAGGCTTGAAAATAAAAACACAAAAAGGAATTCAAAAGACAAAATGTACATTGTTTATCCAGAAGAAGGGCAGACTTGCTACCAGAAATTCAGTGTCAGCACGATGCATGCTCAGAGGTGAGCCTCATTCTAGCCACAGTGCCTATGGATGTCACTAGGCCTTGGACAAAGCATGTAGCCTCAGGTAGTACCATAAACTCTGCTTCCCTTTCTGAACCATCTCACTGGATTTACCATGATCCTGGCAGGAAACAGAAGCCACGCTCAAAGGGTTGAATTAGCATGGGTGTGAAAAAAACTAACGTAGGTGTGGGCAGGGCTAAGGAAACCCACAGCAAAGGTAAGACACCTGGGGATAAGCATGCAACAGTGAGAGCTGCTACACCCCTAGGCCTGAGGGCAAGGAAGACAGATGGTGTCACTGGAGCCAATGCCTTAGAGATGAAGCCATCCAATGGGAACTGTGGCCCTGGAGAGGGAGTCAGCAGTCTAAATCTGGCCTGCCACCTGTTTTTGTGTGGTCCACAAGCTAAGAACGGTTTTCACATTTTTATTTTTTTTTATTTATTTATTTTTTGGTTCAAATTCCCATTCTACCACTTTATTTTTTATTTATTTATTTTTTAATATATTTTATTGATTATGCTATTACAGTTGTCCCATTTCCCCCCTTCTCTCCCCTCCACCCTGTACCCCCCTCCCACCCACATTTCCCCCCTTTAGTTCATGTCCATGTGTCATACTTATGAGTTCTTTAGCTTCTACATCTCCCGTACTATTCTTGCCCTCCCCCTATCTATTTTCAACCTACATTCTATGCTACTTATTCTCTATACCTTTTCCCCCCTCTCCTCCTCCCACCCCCCCCCCTGCTGCTAACCCTCCATGTGCCCTCCATTTCTGTGGTTCTGTTCCTGTTCTAATTGTTTACTTAGTTTCTTTTGGTTTTGCTTTAGGTGTGGTTGTTAATATTTGTGAGTTTGCTGTCCTTTTACTATACATGTCTTTTCTTTATCTTCTTTTCTTAGATAAGTCCCTTTAGCATTTCATAAAATAAAGGGCTTGGTGATGATGAACTCCTTGAATTTGACCTTATCTGAAAAGCACTTTATCTGCCCTTCCATTCTAAATGAGAGCTTTGCTGGATAGAGCAATCTAGGATGTAGGTCCTTGTCTTTCATGACTTGGAATATTTCTTTCCAGCCCCTTCTTGCCTGTAAGGTCTCTTTGGAGAAATCAGCTGACAGTCTGATGGGAACTCCTTTGTAGGTTACTGTCCCCTTATCTCTTGCTGCTTCTAGGATTCTCTCCTTCGTTTTTACCTTGGCTAATGTAATTATGATGTGCCTTGGTGTGTTTCTTCTTGGGTCCAACTTCTTTGGGGCTCTCTGAGCTTCTTGGATTTCTTGGAAGACTGTTCCCTTTGCCAGATTGGGGAAGTTCTCTTTTATTATTTGTTCAAATACGTGCTCAATTTGTTGCTTTTCCCCTTCCGATTCTGGTACCCCTATAATTCGGATATTGGAACGTTTAAAGGTGTCCTGGATGCTCTTAAGCTTTTCCTCAATTTTTTGAATTCTTATTTCATCATGCTTTCCTGCTTGGTTGATTCTATCTTCCTTCTGGTCCACTGTATTGTTTTGAGACTCAGATTCCTTCCTTTCACTATTGGCTCTCCTCCGCATATCTTCCTGTATCTCTTTTATGGTAACCTGCATCCTTTCATCTAAATTGCACCCAAAATCAACCAATGCCGTGAGCTTTCTGATCACCAGTGTTTTGAACTGTGCATCTGATAGACTGGCTATTTCTTGGTCGCTCAAAAGGGTGAGTTCTGGGGACTGATCTGCTCTGTTGGAAACATGTCTGTCCCTGTCTCTCCTTTTTTTTTCCCGGTCTGGTCACTCTTGTTACAGTGGGGGGCGGAGCCTTAGGTGTTCACCGGGGCTGGGCACCCCAGTCACTAGATTGTGACGTTATATGTGGGGGGCGGGGGCGGGAGCGGGGACGGGAGGGAACAATGGCGGCAGTTCCGTTCTCCTGGGCCCAGACCCTTCTTTGGGATCCTGGGCCGCGAGTTCTGCCCTGGTCCACAATCACTGCCCCACTGGGTCCGCCCGCCGCAACTTGCATACTCAGGGATCACCGCTGCATTCTTGCACCCTGGATGGCTGTCGTGCCGATTTCGAGCCA